TTAATGTCATCTCTGTCCCTATTAGGAAAAAGAGGGGTGAGGCAAGGTCTTGGGTGGTCTATTACTTCATCCCTCGATAAAGTACCGTTTGGCAAAATAGTACACACCTCTCCATTGAGAGAGTGAGTCCCAGACCTTTCTACCAGAGTGTCAGTATGGGAGTTGTCAGTTCCCTCAACTACCCTAATAGTGTTCTCACCGTTCCCTGTGTCTAACTGCAGTTCTCTATTCGTCTGCCTAAGTCGATAGTTATGCAGCTTTTCTTTAAAAAGCCTCATTCTTTCACTAGCTGCCTCCTCTAGGAGTTGCAACTTTCTAGCATCTTCTTCTTCTTCAATTTGCCGCATTCTCTCTTCTTCTAGCCTCTCCGCTGCATGACGGGCAAGCATCGAGTCATATTCTTTCTTTCTCCAACTTTCGCTTCTTCTCTGCAGCATTACGGGCACTCATGTAATCGAAAGTATCCATATGGCCTTTAACAAATGATTCTAACTGTGCTCCTACTCTACCCTCACCTATCCCGCACTTCCTTACATCTTTTAGGAACTCGGTGCGTAAGTCCATTCTATCTATTAGATCTATCTAAAGATAAATAAAATACTACCCCGATTCCGGATTAAAGAATATATCAGAGCAAGGTAAACTGGGCAAGAGAGTAGCCTATGACAGCCGCACAAAGATGTAAATGAATCAAAGTTGCCTACCAGACTGACAGCTTTTAGAATAGTATAGCAGCACAGAGGATACACCGGTAAATGATATGATGTGATTTTACATTCAGTCACTAAGCATAAGTATCAATGATATGATGTCAACATATAATGCTCTACAATCTATATCAAATTATGAAACATGCAAGCAAATATAATAATCATCAACATTAAAATTTACTAAATAAACAATAATCAATGGTTATGAAGTGATCAATGATAAGACATGATACTATCCATTTATTGATTTTAGTAAAAAGTTATTTATTACTCTGTAATCTCTCCCCATGTATAAATTACTAATTTTAATTTAGACTATACTGGCAGAAGAGTTAAAGTTAAATTTTAAAAATTTACTTTCATTAGTCTAGGAGTAATTAGCCCCGTCCAAATCTCGGCGAGCTCGCCAGTGTGACGTGACGCGTGGTTTAAATGTTTATGTTGTTGAGTAGGGATCTTCCTTTCAACACATTCTCTCCACTAGATAAACCGAACTAAAATCTGAGCTATGTTGCTCTCAGACAAAGTCCTGGATATCCAAGAAAACAGCCATATTGGCTCGTTAAGTATATTAACATTAGCTGAACTTGGTACCCACAAGAGAAGGCAAGGAATTTTAGATGTCTATCATACTAAATGAATTATTAGACAGGGCAAGTGATTCCTTCGTCATCTACCTTCTCCCGGTGTTATTATTAATAATTAAAGAATTATTATCATATTATTTGAGCCCCCACCAAATGTTATTCTATCCTAACAGTTTAATTAAACATGTAAGAACAGACATTTGGAATTTAACAAACTATGTAGTTTAAAACTTGACATACAGCTTTATTTACTACAATGAAATTCCCAGTTTGTTGATTTACACAAACAGTGACTGGTTAATGACAGTGATACGCTTCAGCGAGACAAACAGCTCGGGGTTTAGAGTGGTATGATAATGATGATAAAAGGTTAACATAAAGGGGTTAACTCAACTTATAAGCCTCTGACAGCCGTGAGGAACTGTCAAGCTTGTCCAACTCTTCCTTGCCTGTTGTCTGCCTGTTTCAGCTTATTCTCCACTTCATCCCCACCTCGTTCTCCACATCGTTCTCCACCTAGTTCTCCACCTCGTTCTCCACCTCGTTCCCAGCTGGCCGAGTCTAACACAATGTAGGCTACTTCATGGACTGATCGTCACATGGGCGCTGTAATCATGGAAACAAAACACATACGTGTAGTATCTTGACTTACACTAAGAATACATGTATCAATTAATACAACATATAATAATAAGATATAGCCCATCACTCCTCCTCATATTCCACATCCTCTCCAGTCTAGTCTGAAGGTCTTTTGTCTTACATGGGCGTCACATATCCTGCCTTCCCTCAAATGCTATGTCATGATAGTTGACTTTCTAAGTCTGTTGTCCGTCTTCACTCAGACTTCGAATTGGCTGACATAGATTTGACATAAACATGTGGCGCAGGTTATGTGCTGAACCCGCAAACAATTTATATGTGCACGCTGTCCTGAATATTATCTTTCAGTGACAGTAAATACTGTACACCCATCATTCTTCCCCTGGGGTTATAAATCCCCTGTTTAGGTGAACACCTTAAGTGAGCACATGGTGGGCACACAAAACGTAACAGCATCCCTGCACATATTTGGTCCAAACTCATCATGGAAACAATAAACAATATAATTACATTTCAGTATAGCAAATGTCATTGTTCACATCTTATTTTCTACACATGAAAACATACACTGAAAAACATGTGACACAAACATACAAGAAATAGGAATAGTTTAGCAGTTCCCTAACTGAGATACTGAATTCTCACAAAGAACTATTTCAAGCAGAATGTGCAGACAAATTAGGAAAAGGTAGTATAGACTAAGCTTAACTCCCTAACCTATGTATACAAGATTAAAATTAATATTTTCTCTTACCTGGGAACTTTTCCATCTATCGCCAAACCAGAGTACGACAGTAAAATATACCTTTACGTCGACCTGTTTGTTTGCCGGCAGGCTGCGATTAATGACGGGAATTCCACAGGCTCGAAGTATAAGTATCAATCTATTGTCCAAATTAAACTCCTCCCTTTCCTTAGTTTTTACCCAACCCTCAAGATGATGACTTAAGCCACGCCTCCGGAGTACCCAACAGATCACATTAGCTAACAAGTGGCCTGTCAGTCAATTCAGGACTGACATCCCTAGAGCAAACATTCTTAAGTGCCCCAATCTAGTTTACACCGAATCTAACTGGCCGGTGTGAAAGACGGTCAGTGAAGCCATTGTGTTTCCTACGTGACCAAGATCAAGATAAAACATTCCTAATTGCCAAACACCTGTTCTCTCCAGAATTACACTGACGTGTTAAACTCCGACCTCCCGGCTTCACAATGTCTAGCGTCTACTCAATTCCCCTGTTCAAAAGGGCCCCGCTCAGTCTCTACAGTCTGGTCAGGAGATAACATTCTGACACTGGCGTGAGAATAGAATTCCTAGCTACAGTGTAAAGTTTTAGGTAATATTACCAAAGGACTTAGTCGCTTTGTCTGGACTAAGGACTGGAAACGTTTAAATCAATACGGTTTAAAGTAACATTTGGTTTAAGGGCATAGTCTGAGTGCCATGATGTCTTACCACTGGGTGTCATGATGTCTTGCCACTGAGGGTCATGATGTCTTGCTATTGAGTGTCATGATGTCTTGCCACTGAGTGTCATGATGTCTTACCACTGAGTGCCATGATGTCTTGCCACTGAGTGTCATGATGTCTTGCCACTGTGTGTCATGATGTCTTGCCACTGAGTGTCATGATGTCTTGCCACTGAGTGCCATGATGTCTTGCCACTGAGTTGCATGATGTCTTGCCACTTATTGTCCTGATGTCTTGCCACTGAGTGCCATGATGTCTTACCACTGTGTGTCATGATGTCTTGCCACTGAGTGTCATGAAGTCTTGCCACTGTGTGTCATGATGTCTTGCCACTGAGTGTCATGATGTCTTACCACTGAGTGTCATGATGTCTTCCTAGTGAGTGTCATGATGTCTTACCACTGAGTGTCATGATGTCTTCCTAGTGAGTGTCATGATGTCTTGCCACTGAGTGCCATGATGTCTTGTCACTGAGTGCCATGATGTCTTGCCACTGAGTGTTATGATGTCTTGCCACTGAGTGTCATGATGTCTTGCCACTGAGTACCATGATGTCTTGCCACTGAGTGTCATGATGTCTTGCCACTGAATGTCATGATGTCTTCCTAGTTAGTGTCAAGATGTTTTGCCACTGTGTGTCATGATGTCTTGCCACTGTGTGCCATGATGTCTTGCAACTGAGTGTCATGATGTCTTACCACTGAGTGCCATGATGTCTTGTCACTGAGTGTCATGATGTCTTACCACTGACTGCCAAGATGTCTTGCCACTGAGTGTCATGATGTCTTGCCACTGACTGCCAAGATGTCTTGCCACTGGGTGTCACGATGTCTTGCTACTGAGCGTCATGATGTCTTGCCACTGAGTGTCATGATGTCTTGCCACCGAGTGCCATTATGTCTTGCTACCGAGTGCCATTATGTCTTGCTACCGAGTGCCATTATGTCTTGCCACCGAATGCCATTATGTCTTGCCACCGAGTGCCATTATGTCTTGCCACCGAGTGCCATTATGTCTTGCTACCGAGTGCTATTATGTCTTGCTACTGAGTGCCATTATGTTTTGCCACCGAGTGCCATTATGTCTTGCTACCGAGTGCCATTATGTCTTGCTACCGAGTGCCATTATGTCTTGCTACCGAGTGCCATTATGTCTTGCTACCGAGTGCCATTATGTCGGGCCACCGAGTGCCATTAGGTCTTGCCACCGAGTGCCATTATGTCGGGCCACTAAGTGCCATTAGGTCTTGCCACTGAGTGCTATGGTGTCTTGCCACTGTGTGTCATGATGTCTTGCCACTGAGTGTCATGATGTCTTACCACTGACTGCCAAGATGTCTTTCTTTATAACGCATTAGCAATCACAATTACAACTTACGTGAATTAATATGTTATTTCTTTTAGCTGTTGTGTTACGATAGCTGGATCTGCTACTCTTGTCTTCAATAGATTTATATCTTCATAACCTACTTGTTATGTATCATCTGATGATATATTTGCTAAATCTTTTTTTTTTTAAACTTTGCAGAGGGTGAAGATACAGACTTTCAATCTTTAATTGCTGGATGTCCTTTCCTTAAGTGATATTATTTTTCACACCAACATCAATATTATAATATTTATTTTGTAGGTGTGTGGGTACGGCCCATTCCCTTTCATGAATATGATAAAACACTTATCCGAAACGATAACAACTGCGAGACCCTCACAAACATCAACAACAACAGCCACAGTGACAAGAAATGAAACAACAACTGCAGCTACAGATGTCACCTCTACAACTATTATCCAAGAGACGACAGATAATCCCACACTTCGTGCAGACAGTACAACTGCAGACAATATGCAGGCGGGAACGACGAACCACTCCACAGTGACTATATTTGCAATCTTTTTGGCCATGTGTGTGTTTGCCACTGTGGTGGTTTGTCTCGCTAGAAAGCATTCTATGTCTGACAAACACAGACTACAAGAACAGATTAGTCATCGTTGAGTAATAAGTACCTGACAGCAACTAATAAAAATCAAGTTTTTACTGAGACATTTGATTTTTGTTTAGATTTTAAGAAAATGTAAAAAAAAAGATCATTCAATAAAAAAAAAAAAAAAAAAACTGTGTGTCTAATTCTATCTACCTAACTAATAAGTACCAGAAAGTAACTAACCTAATTCAAGTTTTTACTGAGACATTTGATTTTAAGAAATGTAAACGTTTGGATCCTACAATCATGAAAAAAAAAAAAAAAACTGTGTGTATAATTCTATCTACCTAACTAAAAAGTACCAGAAAGTAACTAAATTCAATCAAGTTTTTACTGAGACATTTGATTTTAAGAAATGTAAACGTTTGGATCCTACAATAATAAAAAAAAAACTGTGTGTCTTATTATATCTACCTATCTAATAAGTACCAGAAAGTAACTAACCTAAATCGAGTTTTTACTGAGACACTTGATTTTAAGAAATGTTAAGGTTTGGATCCTACAATAATGAAAAAAAAACTGTGTGTCTAATTCTATCTACCTATCTTTGTTTTCTTTCTCTCTAGCACTGTTATGCCCCGTAGGTACTGCTAATGATTGGTTTACTATATAACTCTCGTTTGCCTGCTGCATGGTGATATTGTTGCGTGTCAGTAACGTGTTAACTCGATCTATCCATGTTCATACAGACCTTCCTCTGCATTCTGCAGTTTCCGTTCTCCTGTTGTAGGCTCTTGCAATCTGACGTCTCATTCACTATTGAAATCCTTCACTGGAAGAGACCTGTGGGTCAGAAACTACCTTTTGTTTTGCTAAAACTTAAGACGGTCAAGTTTTTATGGAGACATCAAAGACCTAGCCACTGGCATCAGTTTGACCTTATCATCACAAAAAGGCACTATACATCACTAACTCGCAGCTACCACAGTGCTGACAGTGACACTGAGCATTCTCTAGCTACAAGAGTTCGGCTACACTGTCAGTAGTCACCACATTTGATAGCGTTGTAGACAATGAGGTAGAGAAATTTAATTGTGCCTCCGACAGACCCATCCCCATACCAGGTTTCGAACCCGGGTAACTCGCATGAAAGCCCGACGTTTTAACCGCTCAGCCAGTTTTTTCTCTTTTCGGCTGAAAACAAAAGAGAATTTCCACCTTAAGATCACATCTGTCCGTATGTTAAATATTTTTGAAACTATAGAAAATTGTTGCGAATTCACACAACAGCTCGATGATGCTTTCACAAATACCCGGGATAACTACAGCAGGTTTAAAGTGGAATTAAGGAAACAGTATACAACATCTGCAACAGTTTATGGAATTAGAGAATATAGACGTAAGGACAGATGGGAAGCTAAGAGACCTACAGAGTTGTAAATGACATGGGTATGGTAATACTCCTCAGAAACAAGAAAAGAACCAAAAAAAAAAAAAAAAAAATTCTTTGCTTTGAATTAGTGTCTTTTTTTATATATATATATACACACCACAAATGAAGCACATACACACACAAAAACTAGCCTTTCCTCTTAGGGAAGTGAGCCGGCTAGACCCTCTGATTACACCCAGGTGCCTCATTCTCTCTAGGCCATAATAATCTTCTTTCTCTACTGATTCCATTGCTTGTTCCAAAGTGCATGGACCACGTCAGCCTAGTAATGTATCAATTCACCGCCTAGTGGTGTAGATCCAGCCACTCTGTCTGCCTGTTCATTGCCCACCACGCCGGCATTATCTTGAGAAAAGGTTCAAAGCATGTGACCTTGCAAGAGAAGCATGCCACTCTGCTCAAAGCATCCGCGTCTTCAGCTTTCTCAGCATGCGTTTAGAGTCTGTTACAATGACGACATGTGTATGCACCTTGTTCTCTAGCACTAGAGAGCTGAAGTTACAGTCTCCAATTCCATTCTTATGCTAGATGTTGTGCTGTCGCATGCTAGGCTGTCTTGCCCTAAAAATTTTCTATTGGCTTTCGCTATGAACCCCCAGGCACTTCTCTTTCCTCTCAACATCGAACCATCTGTATAGATAATCAGATCACCTGGGCGTGAATTAAAGTAAGTAAGTAATTATCCCTTTTCACGCCTTAGGCGCATCGGGTATATGGAGAAAGCGTCCATATTTTTTCAGACCATCGGCACTATGTGGGTAATGTGGTCTGCATTGCGCCGGCCGTCTTTACTTCTCCAGGATAGCCATTCTGGTATCCATGTTAGGCTGGGTCGACCTGCGACGCCCAAAACCACGATAACAATCTACGCAGCCAGCAGAGGGTTGCGATCGAAGTGAGTTGAAATTACGCCTTGAGGTGTACTGGGCAAAGAGGGCTAAACCTATATTTTTATAGCTAATCGGCTCTCAGTGGATAATGTGGTAAACATCACGCTGGCCGTCTTTACTTTCCATAATTTTTACCTGTTATCGATTTAAGCCTGGGTCGACCTGTGAGCCGAGGTCACTTAAGAAAAAGTTTAGCTAGATCAGGTTTTGAACCACTCTTAGGAAAGTAACTAATGGAATTAATACCTACGCATTTAGACAGGCAGGTCTTTAAGTAGGCAATTAGGTAGAGAGGTAAGTAGACTGGCGAGCTTGCTGGTGAGCAGGTAGTGTAGGTGGATAGATGAGACAGATTTATGTGTGTAGACTAATAAATAACGATGCATGACACTGGCATTTGCACTACGCAAAAGAGTGTTAGAGAGCCAGACAGAACATGTGCTGTTTATATATATGAGACATGGACAATACACAAAAAAGCTAAACGCCATTTAATCGCAAAAAAGGTATTGCTTTTGAGAAGAAAAGATGTGGAATGATAGAAAAACACACGAGGCTGGTCTTCTTTTGACAGGTGAAAGTGTCCAAGATAAAAGTGTTTAAACACTTGGATGCAGACAGTCGGTATTTTTTTTCCCCCAGAAATTATAAGAAGGAATTAATTTGCCAAATCTAGGGCGACATTGACGTAAAAAGAACGAATATACAAGCTACATTTTCAAAGGGTCACAAACTTGGCGCATTGGCAGGTCTATCATTCGGCCCTTCCATATACCCGCCTTTCATACATCAGCTGTATTTTATCAGTATTGCGTGTCATGTTCAAATAATAATATGCACATTATGAATGTCAAAAAAGGACACAGACGCACGAGTAGTAAACTGCATGCGCACAGTTGCGGGCGCACACACACTTGTATACAGACGTTCACCCACTCACGCACTCACACACAGATACATACATACACACCCACCTACAGACATACATACACATACACAGATATACACAAACATACACACATCATGGTCACATATATATGTAAATATATATTTACACACACACACAAACATATATACATGCACGCATGCATGCAAAGACATACACATGCATACACAGACACACACACACACATACAACAGACAATCAGACACACATACAGACACATAAATACAAAGACATAGAAACAAACACTCATTCATACACATTCTTACGTATACATACATGTACCCTCGCTCACAAACATAAACAAATCAATGAATAAATTAACAACGTCGTATTTAATCTGCTTTGATAAACATGGTGACATGGCACATAAAAGAAGGCGTGGGGGTGGGGTGGGGTGTGGGGGTCATTTAGGAAGGAGATTGTAGGGTGAGCCAACTTGCACGATTACATCTGAGGTTCTTTCTTGTGTTTCATCATCTGCAGAGTCTTTGAAAACACTACTTTATAATAAAAAGCAAGCATATAAAAGTGCTCTGGTGTCGGCAACCATTTTTAATTTGTCTAAAGTGTTCCATATTGTTATCATTGAATACGTAAACACACTTGCTAACTAGAGCTCGCTCAGGGTGCCACCTCTCAATAACTGTTTGGGTTTTGAACACATGATCACACGGAATTCAGCAGTGGTTATCCTTCCAGCCTTCTCTTCTTCCTCTGCAGCTTCTTCCTTCTGTTGCTGGTGAAGGTGCTGATGCTCTTGAGTTGTCAGCTCTGGTGCCAGACCAGCTCGTGGCAAACGTTTCATTTACAGTGTGGCTATCGAGTTCCTTGGCAAAATTCACATGACAATTTTGTTGCTCTTCTAAGTTGATCGACTTTCGAGGCGTTCGAATTCCAATGTACCACTGTAAATACCTGGATAGTTTAATGACATAGACGTGACGAGACAAGCGCAATGACTAATCCGCGATTTTGGTGATCGTAGTGGATGGCAAAGCATGACAGCCTATGCTTATGATCACGGCACATGATAACAATGACGACAGACAGGAGAAAATATCATCCAACGATGCTAACTGCCTTGGGCGTCAGAAGCTAAGATTGCCCCATTGCATGAAACTTAGATTCTTATCCTTTCTCAACATGCTCTGTTAGTTAAGTTACAGTGATGACATGTGTGTACAGCTGGTTCTCAAGTCACCGGAAGGTAGCCGTGACTGCCTCCACCTCCATTCCATAACTAAATGTTGTGATATCATATCCCAGCTTTTGCTGCGCCAGGCGAGGTCCTCAGGAAATGTATGCCTTGTGCAATGACACTTGAAGATGCAGACTTGAGCAGTTCAAATGGGTTTTTTTTTAGTGGGAGGAATTACCTAATTCTGAGGAAATAAGAAACATTACCTGACAACAACCTTTGTAACGTTAGCTAAAAGACACACAAAATGGCGATATACTGGGAAAATAATGGGAACTGGCCTGCAGAGAATCACCAAACTGAAACTGACTTCAGAAACTATCGGGTGTGTCACTCATGACCGAACACAGCTTTATGTTCATAACTCAGACACTAATAAAGATCATCATCGTCATCATGTAGCAGGTCATTTGCAGAACGTCGCTCTCATCACGGTCTGCCTGAAAGAAACTCGGTCTTTCGCTAGCTTTCCCGCCCCATGTACTTTCATACTCAAGGAGTCATTTATATCCTGTGCCCATTTTCGTGTTGGTCGGCCACTGAACCTCCTTCCTGGTACCATACTTTCTACTATTTTTTTTTCT